TTCTCTTCTCTTCTCTTCTCTTCTCTTCTCTTCTCTTCTCTTCTCTTCTCTTCTCTTCTCTTCTCTTCTCTTCTCTTCCTTTTCTGATATATCCTAAGCTTTTCAGCTTTTGCTTTCATTTTTATCCCCATCTCACTTTCCACTTCTCCATTTAGGCTCTCTCCACCTATATGAAATTAGGCACTAAGTGTTTAAGGTTGCCCATACCTATCTTGATTTTTTAATATGTCATTAATATATTGTTTGAAGTGGAAAGGATGTATTGCATGATTGGCAGCAGAAGTGGATTTATTATTCTTAAGTCCAGGAAACAATTTGGAATGTCCTCCTTCTGTTGTTATTTTTTAGCAAGCAAGAAGCCTAGTGTATAAGATAGAAATTCTAGCATTAGCCAGCTGTGTTCTGTTGAAGCATACAGATTCACCTTGCTCATTGACTGTCCCCCCGGCAAAGCAGTACAGATGGCTACATTAACTATTAGTGTTCATAGTAAAAATTTTGCAAATAAAACACCATAAGAATTATAAATGAATACAGATTACATTCTGTATGTATGGTTAATGGCTACTAATGTTTATCTTGCTCAGTATAAAATAATGTAACATTTCACAAATATCAACATTTTATAATGTTAATTAAAAGTAAAGTATTATATTAAATGTACTATAAATATTGTGCTCTAATTTCTCTACATAAAGAACATTTCAGTAGGAACAAGATACAAAACAGAGTTAAGGCAAAATTACAGCCCTTAGCAAACTTACCCTGCCCCTATCAAGATTGAGTAAAATGCATAGTACATAGAGTGCTAGTACCTTTCTTATTTAGATTTTTCAGAAATTATGTAAAGTGCACACAGTAGAATGTATTTTAGTTTATATTTTCCATAAGCCTATATAAATTAATAGTTAAAAGGCTGGACTAGGACCAGGGAAGCACCTGGTTCAAAACTATACCCAGTCAGATAATTAATTGATTGATGTTGGACCAGTTACAATTTATCAATTTATTTCAAATACTTATTTTTGTGATGATTAAATTAGAGGAGAGAGCATTATATATGCCATCTTGAGTGCCCAAAGGGGAAATGGCATATAACTCTAAAGAAATGAATGATAGATATAAAAGTCATAGTTGAAATGCTAGTACTAACAAATCAGAGTTTAATAAATTGAGTCCACCTAATTCAAATATAATAGTTAGCCGCCATGATTTTGCATTCTGGAAATTAATCTGGAACAAGAGATGGAAACTCCTTTCTTCTAAATTTTCAGCAGAACACCATTTGTTGTTTCTTCTAAGCCAGTAATTGCCAACCTGTAGACTCAGAACCACTGGTGCATGATAGAACTGCAGGTAGTTCATTTAAATATACAGTTTGAAATGGCCAAAATCTTGGAAGGTGCCATGTTGCTAGCCTCTTGTTTATGTGATCGGTCTGTCTGTTTATCTGCCTTTCAGATTGTGGATGTTGTATACCACCCATAATAACTCTGGGTGGTATACAACATTTAGAAGCTTTCAGTGATATAGAAGTAGTCTGCAAAGAGGAGGAAAATACTGTTCTCAACAAACATATTATTTCCTTTGGAAGTGGTTATTGAAATTGGCATTTAATGGCAGCTTCATACTTATCCTGATGCCCTCATCACGTTTTTATTATTCACTGTTGATCAGAAAACATATACAAATGCTCACTCCTCTCCTGAATAAACTGACAGGTGAGATAGGTAGGAAAAAACTATAGTAGTTATGCAGGTATTCATGTAAGTAGAGGAAGGTGACATAAGGCAATGAGATGAGTGATGACCATCTGTTGCGTAGGATAATTAATTTTACAATTGGAATTTTATTTACAGATAAGTGCCTAGTGATTTGTAACCTGTCATTAAACTTACCATTGCAACAGAATTTCACTTGAAACTTCAAATAGAATTATGTATTAGTATTTAGGGCTATGCATGCTTCACAAGTGATTCAGAAGTGCTTAGACCTTGTGCAAGTACAACACTATTTTCTGTTCATTAAAGCTTGAATGTCTCTTTCAGATTTCTACATGAAATCTGAAAGAAGATCCTGCTGCTTTTAAAGGAAACTACTTAGCACCATTAATGCTTATGAAAGTTCTGAAACAATTCTGAATTATTTGCAAAGTCTGCACAGCCCTGGTAGTATAACAACTCTCAGTGCAATGAAAAGTCTCAGATCTTTTTATTTCTTATAATATGTTAACATATGGTAATTTTGATTCTGTAGTATTGTTAGACATTAGATACATTTTTCCTGCAATGAATGTTTGGATTATTTCCTAAATGTTAGTGGAGAAGAATGCTATTCCTGATTCAGAGTAAAAGAGATATTTTTGCTAACAGGCAGGTTGTCCTAATTTGAAAGATTAAAGATTAAAAACTGAAAGATTAAAAGCTGAAAGATTAAAAGGATAAAGGTACAGTGGTATCTCGGTTCACGAACGCTTCTGTTCACAAACAATTTGGTTCGCGACCAGCACCGTTCGCAAAATTTTGCTTCCGTTCATGAACTCTGCATCGGGTGACGAAAATGACCCGCGGCCATTTTCCCTGCTGTGACACGTGGTCG